TCTTGCTCCAATTTAATCCTCTATAAAACCTTTTCCACGATTATCCAATTCCGTCTGGCTCGAATCTAGCCAAAATAATTTGATACAATCACTAAATATTATAGAAATCAATTCTATAAGAAAATACTACATTTTAAAGAAAAGATCCGAAATTAATTAAAAATTCGCCCGCGGGGCTCACATATCAGAATCCGGCGAAACTTATGAAATCCGATAACCCATTCAATTACGAGTCCAACCATACCAGTTTCACTCAAATCCGACTCCGAATCGATACCGAAATCTCAAAATTTTGTTTCTATGAGATTTCTAAACTTTTTCAAATTTCAATCTCAAAAACACTAATTAAATCGTGAAAACAATGATATATCCTTGTATATTGATCAAATCCGAGTTAGAATCACTTACCCCAATGTTTTTCCCTTGAAAATCTGTCAAAAGTCGCCTCTGCTCAAGCTCAAGTTCGCCAAAAATGGCAAATGGGACGAATGTCCTCTGTTTTTTATAACAGCCCAGCAGTTCGGAACTAGGCCTCGAACAGGGCCTCGATCGCGGCATCGAACATGTGCCTTCGATCAGGGCATCGAGGGTTGGGCCTCGATCCTAGCCCTCGAGCCATACCTTTGATCATGCCATCGAGCCTTACCTTCGATCGCGACTTCGATCACAGGCTCGAGTCTGGACCTCGGTCATGGCCTCGATCAGGGTATCGAGGTTGGGCCTTCGATCATAGCCTCAATCATAGCATCGAGCTTGAGCCTTCGATCAGGGCATCGAGCATGGGTCTCGATCCTAGCCCTCGAGCCTTATCTTCGATCATGCCCTCGAGCCTTGCCTTCGATCGAGGCTTCGATACTGAGCCTCGTCCCTGGCTTCGACTCAGGCCTCGATCGTGGGCTCGATATCTGGGGCTCGATCTGAGGCTCGATATCTGGGGCTCGATCTGAGGCTCGATATCTGGGGCTCGATCTGAGGCTCGATATCTGGGGCTCGATCTGAGGCTCGATATCTGGGGCTCGATCTGAGGCTCGATATCTGGGGCTCGATCTGAGGCTCGATATCTGGGGCTCGATCTGAGGCTCGATATCTGGGGCTCGATCTGAGGCTCGATATCTGGGGCTCGATCTGAGGCTCGATATCTGGGGCTCGATCTGAGGCTCGATATCTGGGGCTCGATCTGAGGCTCGATCACAGCCCAGAATATGCAGCAGAAGAGAAAATTGCAGCAGCTTTTTAAGTCCAACTTTTGATCCGTTAACCATCCGAAACTCACCCGAGGCCCTCGGGACCTCAACCAAATATACCAACAAGTCCTAAAACATCATACGAACTTAGTCGAACCTCTAAATCACATCAAACAACGCTAAAACCATGAATCATACCCCAATCCAAGCTTAATGAAACTAAGAGTTTTCAACTTCTACGTTCAATGTCGGAACCTATCAAATCAACTCTGATTGACCTCAAATTTTACACACAGGTCATAAATTACATAACAGAGCTATAAAAATTTTTAGAACTGGATTCCGACTCCGGTATCAAAAAGTCAACCCCCCGGTCAAACTTTCAAACTTTAAATTCCTATTTTAGCCATTTCAAGCCTAATTTCACTACGGACTTCCAAATAAAATTTCGATCACGCTCCTAAGTCCAAAATCACCATACGGAGCTGTTGAAATCATCAAAATTCTATTCCGGGGTCGTTTTCTCAAAATATTGACCGAAGTCAAACTTAGCACTTTAAGGCCAACTTAAGGAACCAAGTGTTCCGGTTTTACCTCAAACACTTCCAAATCCCGAACCAAACATCCCCGCAAGTCATAAATCATTACAAGCACCTACAGAAAGTTTTATTTTAGGGAACGGGGTTCTAAAAGTTAAAATGACCGGTTGGGTCATTACAGCCTCGCCCCGAAAATGCCTTTTAAAACAGTGATTTGGATATTCCGCACTCATGTATTATCATCAGAGTTAGACTTATGTTATGATGTTATTTATGTCTAGACTTGTTTATGTCTCTATGGTATCCAAATTTGTTAATTATTCTTGTTGGTTCGCCTAACTATTTGGGATTAAATGTCATCACGATTGTAGTAAGAATTTGGATCGTAACACTTATATGTATACGCATATCAAAGCTAACAAACATTAAGCATAAAAAAAAGAACATTACAATAATGTATCAGCCAGACAAGCACCTATAGTTTTTTCAAATAGCTATATGTGATAATCCAAAGCGTAATCTACACTATGAGAATTTTTAGGATATACATGGTGACGTGCTATTGCTAACTTCACTTATGAAGACGTACAACGTGCATGCAATGAATTTCGAGATGAGCAATTGATCGAATTTCTAACATTAGAAGAAGATTCTACAATTTTATCAAGAAGATAAAATACATGGTAAGCCCTAAGAGTGTCTACACTTTTCATTTGACAGTCAATCTTAAATTTGTACCATTTGAATACTTTAACAATATTTTTACTGTGTCATTTAGACAACATGGCAAGATAAGTGTTTCTCCATTTTTAAGGACATCAAATCATCCAATAAAACAAATTTCACATACTTCTTGCCGGAAAATGTATGGTTTCTGCCGGAATATTTCCCGGTCAACTTCTCTTTTCTTCTTCACATGATCAACCAAACTCCACATACTTCTTTTTTCTTCTGCCGGAAAACAAACTCTGCATACTCCACATAGTGGCCGCTGCAATTGTTTGGTCGGAAAAGTAGCAGTGCGGCTTGCCAAACCTCAGCCCAAAAATGCAGCAGCTTCATTCCTCGCCATCTCCTCAGCCCAAAAATCCAGCAACTTTACTCCTAAAAAATACCATGAAATCTAGCCCAAAACCTCCATTTTCAGCCATGTAAACTACCGTAACAACAACCCCTCATTTTTTCGGTGAAGTTTCATTTTTTTCTTAACAGTAACAAAATTAAACTTTGTGACCTTTAAATTATGAAATATTTATTATTAGTGATTCAACCATGTGAACATTTTCCTTTGGAAAGAAAAGGTTTACTTTGAACAGTTTAGAACAACCCCCACCTCCGTCATATTTGCCGGCCAAAAGAATGCCTCAGTCAACGGCGACCTCTGCCTCCTCACGACAAGAAAAACAACGTATACCACAAAACTCTAATACACAAAATTTTCAAGGTCTTGAAAACAAGTCTAAGGGTACAAATTTTCTTTACAAAAATTCCAAGCTAAACACATAAGAACATTTCTTAATCCAAGTTGGCCGGACCTATTCAAAAAAATATGTTTGAATCTATGGCTGAAAACATTAGCAAAAAAGTGGCTAAAAAATTGATAGAAAAATGGCTGAAAATGGCAGAAATAATTATTTGGGGATTGACCAGAAAATGTTTGAAGAAAATGAGTTTGAACCTAAAAGAAGAAAGAACGGGATGGTGTGAGGAAGAGGATGTATGGTGTTGAATCTATGGCTTCAAAAATAGCAGAAGTAATCAGTGCGGAAGACAATGAGAACGAACATGGCCAGAAAACTGATATTTCTGGCGAGGAGGGCTCGTTGGGGAAGATGACAACGTTTGGGTTCTCGTTTTCATATTTATATTTTTCATTTTTTTAAAATTTGTTTAAGTTACTGCATCCACGTGTCCTCATCTAATTTGTCACTTCGGCGTGTGAATTACAAGCACCGATATATGTTTGGCTGTCTACAAATTTTGTGTTTAAATTACACAGTAAAGATCTGAATGAACAACTTTAAGGCTCTGTGGATATATTTTGCTATTCGAAGAACTGCGAACCTTAATACTATCCCTCATTTGAGTGAACCAAATGTATCTTATGGAATACAATATAAAGTCAAAACATTTAACTAAAAGTTTAACATAGATCAGTTAAATGTGGACACACATCTACAATTCTGCAAAGTTATAACCCCTCACTTCTAATGATACTTGTCTCTAGTTTTTAAGTAACTTGATAACGTAATATTTATTTATATTGTTACAGTATATTAAATTCGCTGTAATTAATCAAATTGGCAGGGATAATTGTAAAATTGTATAGTAGTAGTGTTTGTGTATTTGTGTGCAAAGCCGGTCCCGTGGTCTAGTGGTCAGGACATTGGACTCTGAATCCAGTAACCCGAGTTCAAATCTCGGCGGGACCTCATGTTTTTTATTTAACATGATTTATAATATTTGGTTCCTTTTACACATTGGTCACAGCCATTTAAGCATATACAAAATGCAGCAAACATAGTTCGTAACAGTTGTAAACATTTCGTTAATATGCAAAACCAAACTATATCAATCTCTGAACATTAATAAGTTCAAATCTTAAAACAAAGTATGGCACACAACGAACTCTAAATTGCTTCATGCAAATTTTATAGTTTCAGAATCATTAAGATGCTATTCACTTGAAGATTCTCATGAATGTAAAGTATTTTACTATCACTTTGTCTCCTAATGTGGACATTTATGATCTCCAACCACCAATTATTAATTGCATAATTATTATCACTAGCTAGAAGCGAATATAGCATTATAGAAGCGGGTTCAATTGAACCTATAATTTTTTGTGCGACATATGAATTTATGTGTAAACATCACTGAACTTGAAAAGAATAGTAGATATAAACTCATAGTTTAAAAATATAATGTGTTAAACACTAAAATTCTTGAAGGTTGAACTCATGGAGTTTAAATCGTAGATCCACCTGATTAGAGAGAGTAATTTGATAAATATATATATAATTCAAATTTCGACATTGTAATTTTTTTAAAACAAATAAACATACCTTAGTTAAGCTATCCGTTAGCACCTCACAAGAAAGGGTTGATGACCCCTCCAAAAGACTTTTAGTTTAGTATTCTTTAAAAGAAAAAGACCAAATGTGGTAATGTAGGAAGAGGAAGAGGCAGCATTGAGCCCCCGAAAGATACGTTCGGCCTAAATAAAACAAGAAAAATTATTTCAAGAATTTGACTTTCATTTCTCTCTCTTTTCTGGAAACAAAGGAGAATAGAAAAGCTTAGATATTTGAATGTTTTTCATCATTTTCATCCTCCGTTATTTGAATTTTATATATTCTATTATTGTTGCTGTTTACCGATTTGAATTTCTCTCACTGTTTCTAATTGTCAAAATCAATAGGAAAATTGACTTGCTACAATCATCATTTTCTTTATTGTTGTTGCCTTTTTCTTCAAGCCTATTTAGAACTTGTTATTATAATTGGTTGCAAATGCAATCTGGGGAATGCTGTGTTGTGGCTCCTCACTTTTCCCCTAGTAAGCTCTCCACATTTGAGGTAATATTATCCTTTCTTTAATTTCAATTTTTTTCGTATAACCAAACAAATTAAGAACGGAATGATGGAATTGTGTAATCATCTCATATGAAAGGTTAAATTATTAGACAAAGCTCAGTTTTAATTTCTTAATTATATCTTCGACACGTCCTTCTACGTGCATGCATGACTCTTTTTCTAAGGCCAAGCACGCTGAAATTCTTTGATAATGGGTGATGATAATACGTCTTATATGCAAGACCTCTGTATGCTAATGATACAATGTTAAATTGTGTCATCACCTTATCTAAAAGTTTAAGTTGTTAAACAAAGCACACTTTTTATTATTTATTATGTCTGGACACAAAAAACTCCACACGACCATGATGTGGGACTACTTTGGTAAGAATAGTTTGTTAAAGAAGATGAAGAACACAAGCATATTCATGTCACAAAACCATATAGGTCTAATGAAGTTTTGAGAAATTTCTTTTACCTCAAAAATGAAATCGTTCATCTTGTATTTGGAGATATGGATGATCTTGCTGTCATAATAATGTAAGTTAAGGAGATTGAAGCAATCAAATAGTTGCATTTTCCTTCATTGATAGTACAATCAATACTAAAACAACAGGAATTAGCAACAGACAAATTTGGTAGCTAAACAGAAAAATCCATCGCTAATCCTATATTCCCTATTTAGAGATGGATTAACGATAGATTATCAAGAACTTTTGTTAGCTATGAGCGATTTAGCGACAGATTAGCGATGAAGTTCGTAACTAATTCCAGTTCTTTTTTGTAGTGAATACTAACAATAATTTTTGTATTGCCAGGATGATGATATGCAAGAGATAAATGTACTTACTAAAGAAACCAAAAAAACACCTTCCATTATAGTATCGAAAGGTTATAGCACAACCAAAGGCTCTAGAGTTCACAATTCATGTGGTGTAGCAGACAACTTCATAATAATGACAGCACTCAGGAGCAAGATCCTCACCTTGAGAGACTTGCTTGATCTATCACCTTGTTTGGGTTCTGCATCTGTAAATGAGGTATTCTTATGTCACTTTATCCAAATTGTATCAAATTGTTGATGTTTAGTTAAATTGCAGCAATTTAATGCAATTAGGGTGTGGAAGTCGAGAACTAGGATAGAAGGTTAGTAGGCAGTCGAACGTTTCCCTTTTTCTTTCCCAGACCAGTCGCATTAATGTTAGCATGACTGGTATCTCTTTATTCTTGGATTGCTTGTACTACCTATTGTTTAATTGCTTTATTTAGCTTCGATTTTTTAATATCTTCTTGTTGTTATCGCTTATTGCCACTGCTTCTTTTCATCTTGTCTTTAGTCGAGGGTCTTTCGAAAACAGCCTCTCTGCCCTCCCAAGGTAGGGGTAAAATCTGCATACACAATACCTTATCCAGATCCTCTTTTGCGAACTCGCTGGGTTTGTTGTTGTTGTTGTTTGATGCAATTTGTGGAGGTTATTATTAACTTTTGCAGTAAAACGTCCGAAAATAGACATTGTTTTGTAGTGTTCAGACAAGAATAGTGGCAAGTCTTTTAACTTCTGCTATATGTGAACATCTTTTTTTACAGCTGCTGATATTGACCCTAAAGGATCTCCATAAATTGTATCCTTCCATCAACCCAAATGTTCCATTGTCAAATATTGATGGAGCAGGAATGGATCAGGTTACGTATTTACTCGCTGAGTTGTGCGTTATACACCATACCATTTTTTTTTATAGGAAGATGATAACTAACTTTGCTAACCAAATTGTTATACATATATATATCAGGCACTGGAATGCTTTTGTGATACTCTGAAATCAATCGGGGAAATGTGGACAGGTGATGATAAATTCATGGCGGAATTTAATGAGGACTCACACAGTAAACTCCACGACGATCTAAAGCGTTATGGTACGTCATAACGTTACATGGATACTAAATGGCAATGTTCTGCCTCTTTTATTCACCTCTCAGCTCTGAGCACTAGTGCTGAATTGTGCGATCGTTTCATTTAATAGGTTGAGTTGGTAGATATGACATGTTTTATTTACTTAATTATATCTTCAACATGTACTGTTTAGGATTGGTATTGCTTGATGAGATGATTAAGCTAGCCACTGAAAGGGTGTTCGATATGATGGACGTGGATGACCAGACGAGAGATGAAAGTCCTTCATCCGATACCTTTGGGAGGCCTCTGTCAGAGTCTTACTCGAGCAACGAGTCCTCTCCCTCAAGCCCTCCACCTACCCCAACTTCTGTTCTCTCTGAGATAGTAATCAATGGTTCACAGAAGAGTGAACTCAAGGTTCAAGCAATTGAGAAGCTGAATCCTATCGATGTAAAACGCCTCTATTTCCACTTGCTGCCTCATGCAATAGAGCAAGATCAAGGTTGTGTTGTTCAACTAGCAACTAACTTTAGTGAACAAATATCAGAAATACAAGCAGGGGATGATTGTGAATTTGGCCAAGATTGTGACATGACGGACTCTCCAAATATTCTACTGACTGTTATGGACAATGTATCAGAAAATAGAGGAACATGTTGCACTGGTGCTTCAAATAATCAACCAGTGTCAAGTCCTGTTTCATTGGACGTGCGTTTACCTCCATCTACGCTTCCTAAGTTGAGATCATATGTAGCAGAACAGGCAGCAGCTCCACTATCACCATTTGCATTATCTCCAAATGTCATAGAATCACCACCAATGACATCAAGAAACAAAGTAACACCTCCACCTCCGTCTCCGCCTCCACCCCCACCACGTCCCATGGCGGTGCCTCCACCGCCACCTAAGACAATAGGAAATGTAACAACAGTTCCACCACCACCTCCCATGACATCCGGAAATGTAATATCACCTCCACCTCCACCACCACTTCCCATCAGATCAAAGGGTATCACACCTCTACTACCACCTAAGACAACAGGAAGTGTAATATCACCTCCACCTCCACCACCACCTCCCATCGGATCAAAGGGTATGACACCTCCACCCCCACCTCCACCAATGGCTTCTAATGGAGCAGTGCCAGCGCCACCTCCACCCATGCCAATGGGAAAGGGACCTGCACCTCCACCACCACTAGGATTTATGGGTGTCTTACGAGTTAAGAGAGCAGCCACTAAATTGAAAAGATCATCCCAAATGGGTAATCTTTATCGACTTCTCAAGAGCCAAGTTGAAGGCTCTAGTTTAGATAGTAAATCACAGAAGAGAACAGGGAAAGTTTGTGCTTCAGCAGGAGGTAAACAGGGAATGGCTGATGCATTAGCAGAAATGACAAAGAGGTAATCTTATTAAAATCCTCACCTATTATCTGGTGGAATATAATGTCGCTTTTTTCAGTAATTTTGAGTTATATATTTTGGAATGTGCAATGTTTGTCTCAGGTCAGCATATTTCCACCAAATTGAAGAGGATGTTGTAAATCATGCAAAAACAATCAAGGAGATAAAAACGGCCATTGCTTCTTTTCAAACATCAAATATGTCCGAGCTCGTTAAGTTCCACAAATATATAGAATCTCACCTTGAGAAATTAACCGATGAATGTCAGGTTCATATATATATATCTGCTTTGTTCATATTTCCTCCATTATATTATATATTATATATTTTTTATTATATTGGACGACGTTGGCTTGAAAGTTTCTTGCTACAGGTGCTAGCAAGATTTGAAGATTTTCCTACCAAAAAGTTGGAAGAACTTCGGATGGCAGCAGCATTATATTCCAAGTTAGACTCAATAGACACTACTCTAAAGAATTGGCCAATAGTCTCACCTGTTGGCGAACTCCTTGACAAAGCTGAGAGTTACTTTAACAAGGTACATAAGAAACTAAGTTCCTGAAAGTCTTAATTATTCAGCTGCTTATAACAGCTCTAACAAACAGTTCTGTCGCGTAGATCAAAGGAGAAATTGAAACACTGGATCGAACAAAAGATGAAGAGTCCAAGAAATTTACAAGCCATAACATTCATTTTGATTTTGGCATTATCGTGCGTATCAAGGAATTAATGGTAGATGTTTCCTCAAACTGCATGGAACTTGTCTTGAAGGTTAGTACAATGTAGTTAATTCTTGTGGAAATTACTGGTTCTGATAATTTGGTGGACTTTTTAATAATATTGGAACATTGAATCAGGAGAGGAGAGAAGCAAAGACAAAAAATGATGGGCACAAAAAGCTAGGATCGAGTAAACTACTATGGAAGGCCTTCCAATTTGCATTCAGAGTCTATACTTTTGCTGGTGGGCAAGATGACCGCGCTGACAAGTTGACAAGGGAATTGGCTCAAGAAATCCAAACAAATCCTAATCAATAGACATATAGTTGTACCTAGAGGTAGATGGAGCTTTTGAAACAAAGGGTTCAACTGAACGGCCGGTATTTTCTTCGACACAGAACATAGAAATTCAACAAATATTAAAATCCGAATCCATAACTTTAAAAGTACAACATGTTCAGTGTTAAAAACATTCAATTTTGAAGCCGTCAAGTTTAAATCCTCGACGATACTGATTCTTTTTCAGTAATAGAAGTAATAATAATGTTGATGTTGCCAGCAATATAAGCGGCATAGCTGCATTTAGATGCACTTTGGAGCTGTAATTGTCATGCATAGATTAAATAACTAGCAAAGAATTGCCACGCATGATATCAGTTTTGTTTAGACTGCGAGTAGAGAATTGAGCTAAACTCTATACATACAATATATGTTGCACCTAATAATTAGTAAATGGTGCTGTAGTATGTTTGTAGCACCAGATCGTCTATTCATTTATAATCAAATTATAAGAGTTGGTTAAAATTACTGACACATACCAAACATATACATTTGATGCATTATTAAAGGTTATGTATAGAAATGGGTGAGATTTAGTTTTGTTGTTCATTATAAATATTATTTAGCTATATAACGTAACCCTTTCACAAGAGATCAGTAAAAAATAATATAGGGGATTAGCAAATAAAACAAAGGAGGTTATTTTCTTTTATTCACATAGTAACTGATCATATGAGATCATTTTGCTCTATAAAAAGAAATATACTGAAATTTTACCCTGATTAAGAAAGTTAATGTAAAAATAGCACGGGCTAACCAGTTTTCGGACTGGTAATTGAAAAATAGTTAGCGTTTGCAAAGTCATTGAAAAATAGCCACTATTTTGCTGCAACACGGAAAGTTCCGGCATAATATACTAGAGATTGGTGCACCTGTGTATGAACTTCCAGCATAATATGCTGGAACTTAAGCACACGGAAAATTCCAGCATAATATACTGGAGATTGGAGCACTTGTGTATGAACTTCCAGCATATTATGATGGAGTTATTTATACTGAATCTCCATCATAATATGTTCTAGTATATTATGCTGGAAGTTCACATGTAAAAATTTTTAGTATATTATGCTGAAAGTTCACATGTAAAAAATTCGAACTCCAGTATATTATGCTGGAATTTTCCGTGTGCTTAAGTTCCAGCATATTATGCTGGAAGTTCACATGTAAAAATTTTTAGTATATTATGCTGAAAGTTCACATGTAAAAAATTCGAACTCCAGTATATTATGCTGGAATATTTTTCGGATTTTGAACAGTGTTTTCGTTCAGATTTATCTTTACATGAAAAGTGATTAAATTTCGATTACTTTTGAAACTGTGACTTTTCAATTACCACTTGTAAATCTGGTTATTTTTGAATTTCATAGTATAATAACTCATGTGTCAATGTAGGTGAAGGCCTTACCTTTATAGTGCCCTACCACGTCTGAAGAACATGACATTAAGCAAAAAGTCTGTTTCTACCTTGCCACACCCTCAACGAAGACAAACTAAACCCTTCTTCTCATGTTCCCTTCCAATAACAGAATGCTCTGAACTTTGGATAAAAGATTGAAATCCGTATTTTTTATCTAAAAAATGAGAACGTCAAACTTAATATTAGTAATTCTTTTATTTTTTTTAATGATTGAATAAAAACGTTTGCACGACCGACCATGAGATCCACCCCAAATCCAAAACACACCCAAAACAAAAGAGAGGAACGTAGTATCAAGAAATTAAAAATAGTTTAACTTTTATATATTAATAGTATAAAGAATATTTACGTTATTAGACTACATAGTCATTCATAAAATATGATGGTAAAACAAGCTAAATTACGCGCTACAACAAGTTGTTAAAATACACTGATATATAAAAAATAAAAAAATACTCTCTATATCAATAAATTAAAGTTCAAAATTATCAGGAAGAATAGACATATTACACACAATTTCTTTTATTATAAGTAAATAGATTACTTAGAAAATATTTATTGGCATTCCATGTTTACATACTTAAAAGTGGCAAAGAGTTCTATATAAAGAGAGAGTGCACGTTACAAGTTACCAACACTTAATTAACATCATCTCTTTCTCTTTCTCTTACTCTTATCCATCTTCCATGGCATTTCTTGCCAATAATTTGTCCCTCTTCCTCCTCCTTACTGTCTTATCTTCGTTGCAAATCCATGCAAGAGACAGCCAATTCTTCAACAAAATTTCCACCAACAACAATGGTCATGAAAAAGTGACAAAGGAAGTAACTCCAAACAAAGAGCAAGAACCAAATTTCATTCCTGAGAATGAAAATGGCTATGGTGTTTATGGTCAAGAATCAGGTCAGCTTTCACCTTTTACCACAACCCCTATGAATAACCTTCCTAATAGCAAGTACCTTCCCAAGAATTACGACCCTGTCGCTTACGTTACTGTCCCTCGGGACAATCTTAATAACAACAACGACGATAACAACAACAATAACAACTACAACCAATATTACAATGGTGATAGTACTTATGGCAATGTCAACGATAACAAAAATAACAACTACAACCAATATTACAATGGTGATAGTACTTATGGCAATGTCAACGATAACAAAAATAACAACTACAACCAATACTATAGTGGTGACAATACTTATGACAACGACGACGACAACAATCAGTACTATACTGGTGACAGTACTTACGACAACAACAACAACAAACAATCACCAATACCACAATGGTATAGCGATTACTACAACAACAATAATTACCCTTACAAGCATGTCAGGGATCCACACGAAAATTCAAGAGAATTTGTTAACTCCTATGCTGACAAAGAGTTAAGCAACTACAACAACTTTGTGAAGTATGAGATTAATGAAGAGGAGTTCCAAGCTGAAGGGGACATGCCTTGAACTAGTTTTTTTATTCTGCAATAGTTCTAAGTTAAAGTGAGCAACATGTCATGAATTCCAATCATCATTAGTGCTTCGTTTTCAGTTTTTGAGTTATGTAATTAGTGGGTAAAATGTTACTGCCTGTCACATTTTGTTGACCCATTTTAACCCTTAAGTTTAATTATGACTGATTATTCTATCGGTTCTGACTTAAATAAACTGACTGGTTAGATCATGACTAGTTTATCTGTCTAATTTTTTAATTTGCAAATGTGATCTAATCTATCCATCCGTTTAGCTCTCTGGCAATTTTTTCCACCTCTTGGACACTTAATAGTGCCTGGAATTTTGACGTTTGAAGTCCTATAAAATTGCTTCTTCACTTTTATAAAGTATAAAACCTATATATGCGTTTTGGCGCATCATTAATCCTACTTCTGGATTCACCTTTTTAGAGTATTATTTAACATATTCTTTACTAAAACTTCACCAATAAATATTACCAATGAAGGCTCGGGATCTGGACCAAGTAAGGTGCATAAAAGACGAGGAGGGTAGAGTTTTGATGGAGGGGCACAGGTTAGGCAGAGATTAGGGGTGTTCATAAAAACCTAAAAAACCAAACCAAACCGACCAAAAAAAATNTTCATGTTAAAAATAATCGATTTTTAATTGAGTACTTAAATTATTTATCACTATTTGATTCAATTATCATTAATATATCTTAGTAAATGATAGATTTCTCAAAGAGCAATTAATTTGATAGTGTTACGTTGAAAATGTAGTCGCCGGAATATGTGTTGGTAGTATGTCTCATATTTAAGAAAAGACCCGATAAATAATCGAAAAAACCGACAAAAACCGAATCGATAAAAAACTGACTTAATTGGTTTGGTTTAATTCCAATATTTAAAAAATCGATTTACTTGGTTTGGTTTCTTTTTAGGAAAAAACCGACCCAAATCGAACCATGAATACCCCTAACAGAGATGGCGGTCTTACTTCCATAAACTCTTGAATGAAGAAGGAGATAGGAGCGTTGTGCTGGGTGAGTTGGAGTACTCGGAGTGTCATTGAGATTTTGGGTACTGTAGATGCATACGAGTGGGGGAGGTTGTAGGGGCCATTGCGCAGGATGAGTAGGGGTAGAGCGACCGGGCCGGACGAGATCCCGGTGGAATTTAGGAAGAGCGTGGGTAAGGCGGGCTTGGAATGGCTTTCTAGGTTGTTTAATGTCATTTTTAAGATGAAGAAGATACCTGAAGAGAGGAGGCGGAGTACGATGATTCCGTTGTACAAGAAAAAAGGAGATATCCAAAACTGCAATAATTATAGGGGTATCAAGTTGTTAAGCCATACGATGAAAGTGTGGGAGAGGGTGATCGAAGAGAGGATGAGGGGGAGTGTGTCCATTTTCGAGAACCAGTTTGGTTTCATGCCGGGACAGTCGACTACTGAGCCACTCACATTGTGAGGAGATTGGTGGAGTAGTATAGGGCGATGAAGAAGGACTTGCATATGGTTTTCATTGACATAAAGAAAGCCTATGACAAAGTCACGAGAGAGGTTCTATGGAGATGTTTGGAGGCTAAAGGAGTGCATGTAATGTATATTAGAGTGATACATGACATGTATGATGGCGCTAAGACACGGGTTAGGACAACAGGAGGAGACTCTGAATACTTTCCGGTTACGATGGGGTTGCATCAAGGATCAACACTTAGCCCGTTGTTGTTTTCCTTGGCAATGGATGCATTGACGCGACACATTCAAGGGGAGGGGCCTTGGTGCTTGTTATTTGCGGATGATATAGTCCTGATTGATGAGAGGCAAGGTAGTGTTAATGAGAGGCGGGAGGTCTGGAGACATACTCTTGAGTCTAAAGATTTCAAGTTGAGCAGGACCAAGACAAAATACTTGGAGTATAAGTTCAGCGGTGTTACCGAGGAAGCGGACGGGGATTTGAGGCTTGACACGCAAGTCATTCCCAGAAGAGAGAGTTTCAAGTATCTGAGGTCTATAATTCATAAGGATGGGAAGATTGATGAGGATGTCATACATTGTATCGGAGCAGGGTGGATGAAGTGGAGGCTCGCTTCCGGTGTCTTGTGCTATAAGAATGTGGCGTTGAGACTTGAGGGTAAGTACTACAAGGTAGTGGTTAGACTGACTATGTTGTATGTGGCAGAGTGTTAGCCAGTCAAGAACTCCCATGTCCAGCAGATGAAAGTAGCTGAAATGAGGATGTTGAGATGGATGTGTGGGCATACTAGGTTGGATAGAATTAGGAATAAAATTATTGGGGACAAGGTGGGAGTGGACTCTGTGGAGGATAAGATGCGTGGGGCGAGGTTGAGATGATTCGGGCATGTTAAAAGGAGAAACACAGATGCCCCAATCAGGAGGTGTGAGAGGTTGGCCTTGGGGGGTAAGAGGAGGGGTAGAGGTAGGCCAAAGAAGTTTTGTGGAGAGGTGATCAGGCGGGACATGGCGCAACTTGAGCTAACCGAGGACATGACCCTGGATAGAAGGGTGTGTAGGTTGAAGATTAGGGTAAAAAATTAGTAGGTAGTCGTGTGTTTTCCGTTATCTTCACTAGTTCGATAGTATTAGTGTTAGTATAGTACTATCTCATTTCTTTTGTTCTGTACTCTTTCGTATATTTAATTTTCTAAATATATTGTCTCGTAGGGCTTCTTCGAAAACATAGCTTGTACGCAAAATCCGCTTGAAAATACAAATATTTGACTCTAAATATATTGTCTCGTAGGGCTTCTTCGAAAACATAGCTTGTACGCAAAATCCGCTTGAAAATACAAATATTTGACTCTAAATATATTGTCTCGTAGGGCTTCTTCGAAAACATAGCTTGTACGCAAAATCCGCTTGAAAATACAAATATTTGACTCTAAATATATTGTCTCGTAGGGCTTCTTCGAAAACATAGCTTGTACGCAAAATCCGCTTGAAAATACAAATATTTGACTCTAAATATATTGTCTCGTAGGGCTTCTTCGAAAACATAGCTTGTACGCAAAATCCGCTTGAAAATACAAATATTTGACTCTAAATATATTGTCTCGTAGGGCTTCTTCGAAAACATAGCTTGTACGCAAAATCCGCTTGAAAAAACAAATATTTGACGCGCCAAGTAGGGGTCGAACTTACGACTTTCTGCTTAGGAAACAGACGCTCTATCCATTGACCTACAGGCGCTTATGTGTCCTTGTTGGCGGGCTCATTTATTATTCCAGAAGGAAGCACTGGGAATTTCTAATTTTTAATTTTATAGTTCAGGGAAAACAACTGTGGTTTTTATTTTGTACAAGTTAGTAACTGTTTAAGCTGAAGTTGCTGTTATTGGGACGATTTTGCTTTACTTCTAGTTCAGGGGATAAAGATAAAAGATTTACGCAAACTTGTTAAAAGGCCAAATGCCTAACTTGTATCCTAAACATTCAGCATACGCATAAATTTTTCGGGCGAAAAAAAAAAACATAAGTAGGCAATATTTAAGAAAATTTTTCAGATATCTAGCATCACTAGGTATTTTACATAACATGCAGCTTAATAAATACATTCCTTAGCAGGAAACTATAAATATGGACCAAGATTCACGCTTAAAAACAAGACCAGAGCATTCAATTCCTAAAAAAAGGTCCAAAGCAGTTCAGTTTTTTTTCAATTCTTTCCTTATATAAGCCTTCCTAAATTAGCGCCAAGAATGAATACTACATGAGATTTATTTTCAATTACATGGAATAAGTATATACATGATATTATAATAGTATATAATTATATATGAGATTTATTCTGTTGATATAAAGTTTTATTTTAATTGTATATCAACATCAATTTTTGTATAGTATATAATTATATATGAGATTTATTCTGTTAGTATAAGGTTTTATTTTTAGTTATATATCAACATCAACTTTTACATAGTATAATGATGGTATTAAATACTTTATAGATTATAATGGTACTTTTTAGTATATTAATATACATAATATAGTAAATCCTTCAGCCATTGTATAGATTGTGTTGTAATGTAAAAATAGTAGATAATTAAATATATGCATAGAATAAGTATATATATGATATTATAATAGTATATAATTATATCTGGTATAATATATGTATAAATAATATACATGACATATTTTATTTATACCATTCATATAAATATTCAAAGTATTTGAAATATTCAGAGAATATTTGAATGCTAATTTAAGGGACAAAAATTTAGGAGATAGAGAGAGTGTTAAATGCTAAATCAATCAACTTAAATTTAGATAAATAAGGATAAAATTGATCCCGTAATTTGTGTTACTCATTAATTGTGCATATAATCTTTATAATATATGCTAGTATTGTAAATGAATCTGCTATATATAAAATAATCCAAAAATGATATCATTTTTTTAAATACTTTTCAAAAGATGCTCCGTCATATATTTTACCCAATTATTCGTAGTCCTAATTACTCATGGAATTGAAAAATTAATATTGCAATTGGAAGAAGATTCGGAACAGTCGTTTGAATTGTAAACACTCTAATAATTTTGTTTGAATGGTTGTTACTCATCATTTCTTAATATATCGAATTGTTCTATATTGTAATATGTACTATATTACTTTGTACATTATTTACACATAAGTATGTTTCGCCACAAATTTCATAGAGATTTCAATACTCAAGTCACCGGACATCCTTCTCATCGATGAGTTTTTTCAACATGGTGAGAATATCCTAACCCGAAAACCCAAAACTCTTGAAAATTCCAAATTTCATGTCTACATTCGATTGAGGCAGGCAAGTAAGCACATCATCACCAGAGATTCCATTTTCTTTTTCCACCCTATGCAACATTTCCTCAAGGCTTCTTGGTACAATGTTTTAAAAAGTTGGGATTTCTAAGCACAATACTCATGATCTTTGAATATAACAGCAGATATAGTTCGAGCTTTGACAAATATTTTTAATCAGTGGCAGATCTAGAATTTAGGCCTTTTAAGTTCAGTTAGGTGTTCAACATCGACAACAACATGGCAGCTACATGAACAAGTCAATGAGGCAGAAGATGTTAAAAACCTAATTTTCTCTTTGACTATGATTAGCTTGTATAAATTTGCAAAGAAATGAATAAATCGGGATAGATAAGCGGATAGAGTGTAAAATCAAAATATGCGTGCACATTAGGGGTGTAAAATGTAAAGAATTCACCACAAAAATAAAATAAAATCATATTAATACACAATACTTATCCAATGAAGATAGTGGCGCAAGAGCCAAGATTTATATAAGAGAACTAAAATTTGTAGAACCCCCTTTTGCTATTTTATTAGAATTTTTCCTCACGATTTAACAACTTATATATAATAAAAAAGATTAAGTTTAATCGAATTTACACAATATAATTTTTCACGAAGCGAATTGGATTAAACTTCGTTTCTCTAATCTAGCTTCACCTCTACAAAGATTCATAAGGGTGTGTTTGATCAAAGTAATATTTTCTAAAACCCATCCTCAATGAAATTTGGATGGAGGTTTATCTAGTTCATTTCCAATTTGGATGCAATTTCATAGGAGTATTTTTTTCTAAGTCTTTTAATTTATTTTTGAACAAAATGATGAGATAACCCCCATGTAACAACAAATTTTCGCGTCGAGAAATAAATAATCAAGACTAAAAAATTGCATAACAAATGTAGTATTTGATTTCAATAAATGATAAGTGTTACAATCTTATAGCATTCCTCTGATTCTTCAAGAGTGTAAAGTATCTTAATGAGCTTGACTTCTATTTGATTCAAGGGCTTGTAAAGTTTGATCTTGAATCTCCTTCTTGAACTTGAATTTGGATTTGATCACGAACACGTAATTTGATCTTGAATGCCTTGGTATTTGATTTGGCTTCGTTCTTGATCTTGAACTAGAACTTGAACTTGTAGCTTGAGTGCTTAAGTGCTTGAACTTATAGTTAGGGATGTACAAATGAAAATGAAAAATCGCACCAATCCGATAATCCGAGTCAAACCGAGAAAAGAAACCCGACTATAGTTTGGTTTGATTTGGTTTGGTGTTGAAAAAAAAAAATGACCATATTTGGTTTGGTTTGGTTTTAACTAAAAAAAGTCAAACCCAAACCAAACCAACCCATATTATATGTATAAAAGTTTTAAATATATTTAATACATAAAAATATTTATGGTTGTGTAGTTTATAAATATTTCTTAAATTTTTTCATAGTTTTATCTTTTAACGTATTATTTCAAACTTGGACTTATAATTTTTGGATGCTCCAATATGTTTTTATAGTCCATAAATATTAGTAACTCAAATAAATCTAAACCAAAATCAAATCAATACTAATGCTAATAAAAAACATTCAATTCAATTGTACTATGAATGAAAATAGTATTGGATATCTATTTTTTTAGTTTTCCCATGGTTTAGATAAAATGCATAATTTTTTTTTTTTTAGTCGTTAGTCATGTAAATAATAGTACTTATTAGTCATGATTTTAAATTATGTTTGTTTTTATTATGGTTTATTAATAATATTTATTTTATGCGATTTTATTATGTTTATTGTTGAATATTTTAGTACAATGCCATGACTCATCTTATATTTATGTTATTTTATTGAAAAACACCTTATATAGTTCTGTCTTACTAGGATTAAAGAAATATTTGGAGTACAAAGTTTAAGTTTTGTGCTATGAAGACTTTATGAAAAAAAATTTAAAAAATCTGAAAACCCAAAAAACCCGAGATTAAAAGATCTGACTTTTATTGGTTTGGTTTGGTATTTAGATTTAATAACCCGATACAATTGGTTTGGTATGGTAATTAGAAAATCCGAACCACCCCGACCCATGTACACCCCTACTTGTAGCTTGTAGAGAAATCTGCGGTGTTTGATTCACGAGCTCTCTGCTTGCTTCTTGTTATCACTTATGGTGTCTTCTAGGTTTATGAAGACCTCTATTTATAGTTATAGGTAGTGGTGTGGCTCCGCGATTTGATTGGTCCATTTGAACTTATCAATATCATTTAGACACTTGGCACAACTCTATTGGTTTTTGATTTGGCGTAGTATACCACACATTGCATGATTTCATTGGCTCATTTATTTGCCACATCATTTGCCCGTTCTTTTGACTTAGATTGTCACATCGCTTGACACGTG